GCCAATTATTTTTGATCGGGAGAGAAAGGACAGGACCAGAATTTGGGCCCTGCGGGGTGGAGGGAATTCCAGGAGAAAAAAAAAAGCCACAAAAGAGATTTTAAGGCAAGGCAGGGCAGGGCAGGGAGAAAATTCCCACATAAATACACCCTTTTTTTTAAAAAAAGACACACAACCAGGCTCTGTTGCAGGATGCTCCCTCCCCGGGAGACTCAAAACAACACAACAGGGGAGCGGGAGGGGGGGGAATTTCACTTTGTGTAATTCGTGCTATTATAGCATTAGAGAGACAGAGGGGAAAAAAAAAAAGGCAATAAGAGATCTCGGGATGTGGCAATTAGGCAAAAAACCAAAAAACCCACTCCTGCTTTTCTCGCCGTGGGTGGGATCAGACCTCCCAGCTCGGCCAGGAGAGCTTCCTCAGCGGCTGCCGTTGGCGAGAGGGTTTTTTTATAAGCCCCAAAGCGGTGCTGCAATTTCTCACCCATGCTCGATGCTGGACTGCTCCCATGAGAGTAGCTATTTGGGGAAGGAGGGGATAAGCTGAGGTCAGAGACCCCAGTCTTTGTTGCCAGCACTTCTCCTCCAGTGCATCCGACGGTGGTGGGTCCCCAATGGGGTACGGCCGTGGCTCGCTGACCAAAAACACAACGGGAAAGATCCACATTTCAAGCGGAGCCACAGGCTTCGGTATTACACAACCACCAGAGCGCCAAGCTAAAACCAAACCATGTCGGGTTTTGAGCATGATTGGCAAATCCTGCCTGTGAGCAACCGCAGCTGTCTTTCACCCATGTCCCGTTGAACCCGCCTCCGCTCTAACCTTGTGAGTCTACGACTGGGTCTCTTTGCCACCCACCTTTCACTTAAGATTGCCGGCGCAATCCTAAGCCGCATTAACAGAGGGATGCAATCAAGATCAATGATACTAATAATACTAAGACCACTCTATAAAGCCTTAGTAAGGCCACACCTAGAGTACTGCATCGGTCAGGGTTCTGGCAGTCACTCCTTCCAAAATTGAGCTGTGAATTGGACCCCTCTGTCTCAGATAATTCTCCGTGGTACTCCATGCAGGCGGTAAATGTGCTTTAGCTTGGCTAACTGGCGGGCTGTTTTGGTAACCATGTTGTAAGAAAAGATGTTGAGGCTCTAGAAAAAGTGCAGAGAAGAGCAACCAAGACATATGATGAATGGTTGCAGGAACTGGGCACGGCTAGTCTAGTGAAGAAAAGGACCAGGGGAGACAGGATAGCAGTCTGCCGATAGTTGAGGGGCTTTCACAGAGAGGAGGAGAGTCAAGCTATTTTTCAAAGCCTTAAAGATTTAGTAAGAGCACATCTAAAATACTGCATCCAGTTTTGGTCACCATACTATAAAAAAGAGGTTGAGGCTCTAGAAAAAGTGCAGAGAAGAGCAACCAGGATGATGAGGGGGCTGGAGGCTAAAACATACGATGAACGGTTGCAGGAACTGGGCCTGGCTAGTCTAGTCTAGTCTATCTACCTATTTATCCTTAGTAAGACCACACCTAGAATACTGCATTCAGTTTTGGTCACCATACTATAAAAAATGATGTTGAAACTCTAGAAAGACTACAGAGAAGAGCAACCAGGATGATTAGGAGACTGGAGGTTAAAACATACAATGAACAGTTGCAGGAACTGGGCCTGGCTAGTCTAGGGAAGAGAAGGACCAGGGGAGACAGGATAGAAGTTTTCCAATATTTGAGGGGCTACCACAGAGAGGAGGTGGGGGTCAAGCTATTTTCTAAGGCACTCAAAGGCCAGACAAGGAATAATGGATGGAAACTGATCAAGGAGAGATTCAACCTGGAAATAAGGAGGAACAATCAACCAATGGAACAGCTTCATCACTGGAGGCTTTGACGAAGAGACAGGACTGCCCTGTATCAGAGATAACGTAGGATCTCCTGCTTGGGTGGAGGGTTGGGCTAGATGACCTACAAAGTCCCTTCCAACCTGTTTAAAAAAAACCCAAACGAACTTCCCCATTAAATCAGAAAGAGAAAAAACAAGATTTCTTTCACTGTAAACTGAAGGTCACCCAAAACAATTCTTCAAAGGAACTTCCCTGGGAGGAGCACACACATGACGCATGACCAGGCAGACAAAAAAATAAATAAAAATAAATCAGGATGGTGCAATTCGGTGTTTGGCAACTGCCATTCAACATTGTTCTCTTTGTGTTTTTTATTCTGTAAGCAATCAACATTTGACTGCAAAGCACCTGTTCACCTGTTTTGTTTTCCTTGCGGTTTGGGGAGGCGAATATTGCCAGAGCTCACCTGGATAAGGAAGGGCG